ACAACTTGAGATCTTTTTCTTTTCTTTTTTCGCTGACACATCTTCCGTTGGCATCAACAGCACTGTGGAAGCAACCGGTGATATCTTAAGTCGGCATAGATAGCTCTGTCACCGTAGAGTCGGTCGGTCTCGCAGTATCTTCCGTTGGCATCAACAGCACTGCGGCGAGAACGGTCGATTGCCTATCCAAGTCTCGGTCGAGAAGGGTTTTCGAATCCTTGTTGGTCGAGGTCATCTCATTAGCCTTCTCGGCGAGGTGAGGTGTTACAGTTATTACATTCGGCACATTGTAAGCCGAATTCGGTTCGTGAACTTTGTAAGAAATAGCAGCCTTGTCTTCAGGCTCGAGAACCCGAGAGGCCGAGACGCGTTCCTTTCTCGGCCGCAATCGCAAGACGCAGAAGTCAGTAGCGCGACCCAACGCAGCATCATCAAATTTACTCCTCGGCCGAGCCTCGGCCGACGAGTTGGCACGCCCCGCAATCACCGAAGGACGTAGTTAGCTTAGAATATATTCGGCCTGCGCGCCACGTAGGCTTTGTAATTTCTAGGGTCAACAGTTGCTGAGGAGAATTTGTTGGTTTTATTACCCTTGAGATTAATTTTGATTTATTCGATGAACTAAATTCAGTAGAAAATAATGATATAGAACCAAATTAGTCATATATATAAAGCTTTTATATTGGGAACCCCCCCCCCCCCCCGATCTTGAAAATCTGAATCCGCCACTACCGGTAACAAATGTGAATTTTAGAGCTGATATGAAGTTTACCATGTTGGCCCCAATATATATATATATATATATATATATAACTTTTATATTGGGACCCCCCGGATCTTGAAAATCTGAATCCGCCACTACCGGTAACAAATGTGAATTTTGGAGTTGATATGAAGTTTACCGTGTTGGCCCCAAGGAATGAGGCAGCGAGAGCAATGGGCCATGTCAAAGGCTCTAGAAGGGTAAGGAAGTCTGCTCGACGCAATGACTCCGATGAGGGCGGGCACTCCTCGGTCCAGAGCAAATTGGACTTGCGACACGTGCGTGTCCCTCGGCGCGAACGACATGGTGAGGATGTCGCGGGACAGCGGGTACGCTCCCCAACTTGCAACCTGCATTGCATGCACGTAGAGGAAACAATAAATTAACATCGCATGGCTGCCAAGTGGAATGTGTCCAAGTCAACGGCGTTGACTTTGTTAAAAATTAAAAAAAATTATTTTCAATGTGCAGAATGAGAAATAAGGTGTGAAAAATTGTTTCTCGAAAAAATTTGTGGCATGAGATCAACTTTGAAATAAGGTGCAGAAAATTATTTCTCGAAAAATATTATAACACATGATCAACTTGATGTCATAATTTGATGTTACGATTAGGTTACAATTAGACTATGTAAAATATATATGTTATCATGACATTTGATACAAACACGTATCTTTCTCTTAAAAATTGATTTGTCGTAAACTACAGATCATCAACACTGTAATTAAGATTTGATGAAATTATTTAAATCGAAATGTTTTATTTCGGATAGAGGAACCAATAATTTAGCCTTCATGGTTGACCAAAATATGCATAGTTAACAATGTATAGTAAAATATTTGCACTTGATATTCGTGCGAGATTCCTTTCTCAAGTTTTGGGGTTAATTTGTAAATTTAAAAAGCAAAAAAATTAAGAGGGAGGGAATGTCTTATTTTGGGAAATTAAATCGCCCCTCCCCTTCCTATTTAGTTGTAATCATCAACTACCACAAATTCATCAAAATACTACTTTTACTACCTATTTGTATCATTTCTTTAATGGAAATAAGATTCACATGTATTGGCAGACCCTATCTCTATTAGAAAGATGATACAAATAGGTGATCAATATAAAATTATTCCTAATCCACGAGAAATTTTTCAGTGTGACGGTACACGAGGTGGTACACCATGTGTCACTATACAAATGGTAGGATATGTGTGTTAAAAAGTTAAGAACTTAAAGAATACAATTTCTCACCACTTATATAAAAACACGTAATGTATTATTCGTGTTCCGGTCACAATAAAAAATTTCTTCTAATCCACGCCTTAGGTCATATTATATCGAAAATTGTCAAAATTCACATGCGGTCACCAATTTTCTTCTAAGAAATAACCATTATAAATTCGAGTTAAAAATGAATTATTTACCCAAGTGTTTATTAATTGCGTGTACTCGCTGTATTTCGCGTTGCAGCGCGGGTACTCGTTTGTGGCGGCGGAGTGGGAGGACGTGGTGGCGGTGAAGTTGGGGCTATGGTGGGAGTTGAAATCTAGGGGTAACGTGATTGATGTTGTTTGGATTTCGTTGGAGGATTTGCATGGGAGATTGAAGGTTGGCGAGGTGACGGTTTTGGTGACTGCGGTGGTGTCGCCGTGTTGCCAACTTGCCAGAGGCCGAAGAAGTAGGAACAGATGCAGAGGAAGAGGATGACGGGTAAGGTGTAGTCGTAGACGTTGCGTTTTATCCAAGGGAATAGTGAGGGTTTGGAGGGCTTGGAGGTTGGGTGGTACGGAAAGATCCTCTCTTTGGGCCCAGGAGAGGATCCAAATCCCAAAGAAATAGGGTTATGATGCACGTTGGGGTGGTGTTGTTTGTCTAATTTATATAGACATTGGGATTAAATGTTGAAATAGATATGCTGGAGTGCTTATTTTATAAAGAAACTAATGAAAATGGTTTGAAAACTTTGAGTTTTAATGATAAAGATAAAATAGAAGGTAAAGTAAATAGTACATGATTGACTTTTTAGTGTAAAAATGTGGTTTTTTGTTAAAATGAATAGTACCGAGAGTGTTTTTTTTAAGGTTTCCTACTTTATATTGGTAATAAATTATTTAGTTTGTAAATTAAATTTAAAATTTTGGTATACCTAACATTACTCCTACCGAGTAACGCTACCAAATAACTTGCCAAGTATAGATAGAGAAGTTAACCTGGCTTCTTTCTTTCTTTCTTTATGGATCAACACACCCAAGACTCACCTAGAATCATCTCAACCATACACTGACAACAAGGCTTGAACAAATGTGCATAGATGAATATGAGCAAGAATAATATTCTTCTAGAGTTTCAAATGCAGCCATGTATAAACACTACTGTTTTCACTCTTCATGTTTTTAAGTTTTGGGGTGTGATATCCACACTCTATTTTACTTCTTACACATCTTTTTAATTTTTAACATTCGGATCGAATGAATTTAAGAAGATCAACAGACAAAAATTATCAAAAGATATGTGAGAAGTAAAATAGGATATGTGGATAGCACACCCCTTAAGTTTTAGGTCTGCCGTTTCACTCTCTCTAAAAGTTGTCTGCAAATTTTTGGTCGACGAAAAGGTAACGTTCCGCTTGTACAGCTCCCGATTCTTGAGGTCATTTGCGGCCGTGTATTTTGGCTTAAATTTTTGCAGCTAGTTAGGATTATTCGTTTTGGTTATGTATATTAAGCTATGATCGATCGATCTCTGGAATGCAAAGAGCTCACTGATTTTTTGTTCTACTTGGTCTTCAAAATTTTGACTCTGCTGCTCGATCTTCTTGTTTTTCTACTTGCTTAAGAGTTTGACTAGTTTAATTTCGTTAATATTTTGTTACTAGTCTGAAATCTGTCTCTCTGATAAGAATTTAGCTTATAATTTCTTTATTCCGGTTTTACTTTGTTAAATTTTCAGCTCAATTGAACTGGTTTTGTTTAGGCTCTCTAGTAATTGGTGGGTTCAGGGTTGACAAGCTTATGTCATTTTTTCAAGGGTAGTTTGGTTACAAGTTAGGCCATCTCCAATGGGGAGGGCTAAAGGTTGTCCAAAAGGCAAACGATGACCTGATTTGCCAAAAATTCATCTCAAATTGATAGCTGGGGTATAATTCTGTGGAGCCTACCAAACCATTATTTGGCCAAAGGGGCATCACGCTGATCAAATGTAGCCCTCCACTTAGCCACTTTTTTAGGGCCAACTTCTCAATTGCAATAATTGATTCTAATTCAATGCTAGATTTGAAGACATCCGATTGTGTGTTTCGTGCTGGTTGTTAATGTTGAATCTACTTTCTGCCTAATGTTGGTTTGGAAACTAGTTCAATTTCTGTGTTTATTTTTTCTCGTTATGCTGCTGATAGTGTTGTTTCCTTCCTTTTATCTTAGATCCCCATCATAAATTGTTGAAAGCTCATACAGAATATAAACTCTCTACTTTTACGAAGTCTCCATTTTCAGAAAAGTGTAAGCATCAATACAGAGTTGTACTTACGCTTACCAGCACCGGCCATGTAATGCTCTTCCAACAATATTAGCATGATCAGAACTCTCAACATATTCAGCAAAACCAGCAACACCAGAACCAATAGCGGCAAGGGGCATTCAGTGCTACTTCCTTAACAATGTCCCAGCCTGGTTTCCTTTCTCTTCTCCTCGCTAATGATTTAAGCTTATTGTATGACATAGTAAACACAAAAGGGTTAATTGATCTTTCCATTTCGATAAAAAAAATTCTATGAATATCTTAACTTGTTAGAGATTAAGGAAAGTTTAGTTAAATAAGATTAATAGAGGGAAAGAGACATTTATTACCTATTAGCTGTCATAAAGAGAGTGATTTCTACTGCTTTGTGTTGCATGCCTTGCTATATAAGAGGCAGCGGCAATGTATCTTTAGTTCGAAAAAAACTTTTGTTTGCGAGTAATTAATTTCCTTAATGTTACAGGAAATCCTGGTACTCCGACCTATTTGTTTTGGGAAACAAGCATTAGAGAATTGGGTAATTTATTTTCCTAGTCCTTAAATCATCTTCTCCTACTCTTGCAGGGAGGGATTACGAATTTACGATGTTACCACTACCAGGAAGGAAAGAATTTAGTGTATATAAATAAACACGAGGGGTACGTGTTTTGCTCACAACAAAAAAAGAAAAAAGAAAAAAAGAAAAAAAAAATAGAGAGACAAGGCAAATTCGTGCTTGAAAGTTGAAGCTATGGCTTCAGTAGTTTGGCAAAGTTTGCATAAGCACCTTTTAGATTCCGTCTTGGAGAGATTGGAATCGCCAAAGGATTATTTGCATTTCAGCATTGTTTGTAAGTGGTGGTATTCTGTGGCAAAGGATAACTACAATCAGCGTGCTAAGGTGACAACTCCAGTGCTCTTGTTGATTCAGACTGCAAAAAGAGGCACATGGTCGTTGTGCGATGTCATGCAGAATATGGTCCTTGATTTTCACGTACAGGTTCCTAACGTGCGATTCTGCGGCTCTTCAAAGGGATGGTTGATATATGTGGACAAGGATTCTGTAGTATATCTGGTTAATCCATTCTTTAGGGTTAAAGGGAAGACAAACAAAGAAAATTCCATCATTCGCCTTCCTCCACTCATCGGCGGTGTTCCACCATTGAAGAATTGGGATTCGTCTATCAGCTACTATTTTGCCTACAAAGCTATACTTTCAGCAGACCCTGTATTATGTGCAGACAATTACATTGTTGTGGTGATATGCGAGGTATACTGTCAATTGGCTTTTATTAGACCCGGTAAAGACACAACATGGACTTTTGTTGCCGATAGTCGGCATATAATTGAAGATGTTGTTCGTGTTAAAGATGAATTTTACGGCGTTGATCAAGGAAGACGCAATCTTGTAGCTTTTGATACTAGTGCTCAGTACAAGTGCAATGTAATATTGGATGCCGGCTACACGGGAGAAGTGCCAGCCAAGAGATACCTTGTGGATTTAAATGAGAAAAGATTTTTAATGGTTGAAAGGTATTGTGATGTTATAGATGGGAGACGAATGACTCATCAGCTCAGAATTTTTGAAATGAAGTCTCACAAGTGTGAGTGGTCTGAAATATACGACTTGGGTGATGTTGCTCTCTTCGTTGGTGATAACTCTTCGATAGCTTTGGTGGCTTCGAAATATTCAGGATGTCAGCCCAACTGCATATACTTCTGCCACGACAACATTAGTCAAGGATTCTTCCAACCCATGAAATCTTATGATTTTGGTGTGTACAACGTCAAGGATCAAAGCTTTTCGCAACCTTACCCAGAAGATATTATGACCCTTATGCAGATGACCAATCGACCTCCAATTTGGGTTGACCGACCTTTTAAGCTCTAAAGGGCTTTACTTTTTCTTTCTCATGTTTGCCATATCCTAACCCATGTTCTATGCTTAAAAATGTCGCTGCATTTTTCTTTTCCTATTGGCTGTTGGCTCCTCCAATTTTAATGAGAAATGGTATTCTTTTTTTGTTTTCTTTAACTAATGAATATGGTCGTTCAAATTAAAACAATTCAAGAATTTACTAAACAAAACACACACACACACACACACATATATATATATATATATATATATATTAATTCTTAAGGTTTTCATATATATATATATACATACATACAACATATTATAATATTTCTCGATGCATTTTCATATTTTAAAAGTGTTGCATAACAACTTTACTACCAATACCATCCAATCTCTATGTTATCATTCATCTACTGAATTTGCTCTATCACATGGAGTTACTATATGTAATATGTACATTTTTCCACCCAAAAAGTTTAGCAGGTTACGGAAAAATCTAGTACCCTTACCACACCAAATTTTTAGTATATTGGACTTCGTTGTGCCATAAATTTTTAGTATACTGAATTAGCAGTGTACGTTGCTGGAAAGTGTTGTTTTTGGGCTTTAGTGCAGTTTTTGGAGCCCAAGATGATCTCAGATGAGTTTGTGGCCTTCTGGAGAAGTGTTCTGAATAGTCCAAGCTTTAAACTCAGATATTTTGGGCCAATTTTGGAGCTGATATGGGTCCAAAACGTGGGTGTAAAGAATTTTGGGCGAATTTCCAAGTTAATTTAGAATTATGTTTCCTAATTTATTTCAATTGATTTGGTTTCTTAATCTTATTCTAAGACCTTTTCTAGGTAGGGTTTTATTTTGCAGTAGTATAAATAAGGCTTTTTAGCCATTAGGGTTTAAGAGGGAGATAAGGAGGAGAACGCACACACTTTGGCTTTAGAGAGCTTTTGACGCTTCAAGTTTATTTTCAAGGTGTTTTCTATTCATGTTTTTAAATATTTAGTTTTATGATTGTTCGTAACTAATTTCCGTTTGCTAGGGCGAGACGACGAGCCTTAGCAAGAATATGTAGTTTCTTTTCAATTTGCTTATGATATTATGCATGCAGGTTTTGAATTATTAATCACCGGTTTAAACTATCTAATTGTCTTGATGATTGGCCACCATTAAAGAAAAGTAATTTGATGCAATTTTGGTGGAGGGTTGTCCCTGAAATTGGTCTGGCTTCTTATGGTTAATTACACTTCTTGGGATGAGCGACACGTCTTAAGGGTTATATGGTTTTTCATAAGGTTTTCACAAAACTTAATGAGTTTTGCATATTCACATTCGATCTGGACGCCACGAACAGGTTGCATGTTAGATATACGTTTTATGTTGGAAGTTCCAAGTAGGGCATATTTTAGGAAAACCTAACATTCAAAATATGCATGTATAAGTCATAAGTAATTAGAAGAACTATATAGGATTGTTAGGGTGACGGCAGAACCTTAATACTTTCTCACTTGGAATTCTAAAAAACTGTTTCTTTCTCCTTCTTTAACGTTGCAGTTTTTAAGTAATTTTTTAATTAAATTCGTTTTTCTTAATTTAGGTTATTAAAAACTTTGTTTTAATTAATTAGTTGATAATTGATTTCGCTTTGATCTTTTTAAATTAATCCCTATGGAGAACGACCTTACTTGAGCCAATTATACTACAATAACATTGTACTCTTGCAAGTATTTTTAAGTGTTTTTATCCATACTTTTGTAGGTGATAAAAATCCTATCAAGAAATTGGCACCGTTGCCGGGGATTGTTTTAAATAATTTGTGTTTATCAACTCTTAGTTAATTATTTTTTGTATATATTTTTTATTTACTTGATTTTAATTTTTTTTAGGTAACAATTTGTTGGTTTTAAGAGAATTGCAGCAATGGATTGGTTTGGAGCCTCACAAGAAGCACCTACAATTTGTGCTCTTTGCAATTTAAATACCCATGATATTATGTATTGTCCTTAAAGGCAGTATTTTCCAGAGTTTGTGCAGCACCATATTAATATGAGGAACATTTTTCAAAAGCCTAGGTGCACTTCCTACTCAAAATTTTAAAATTCCTCATGGCCAGAGCATCAAAATCATATGTGAATGGGTAACCATCAACCTTTTGAACAACCTCATGCACCAGCAAAAGCTGATTGGGAGATTGCAATCGAAAACATGGCTAAATCCTCTTAAAACAACCACCGTATGATTCAAGATACCTAGGCTTCATTAGATAATTTGGCGCAACAAGTTGGGCAGCTCATGCATCAATGGGACGAACACAAGGAATGCGAGTTTCCTTGTCAACAAATTGATGGCCCACAAGATTCAGAGGAATGGTGTGTAATTCAAACACCGCAATGTGTAGAGAGTTATGACTACATGCAAGAAGACGCTAGAATTAAGAAGCCACTAGGCATTGACTTTCGCCTAATGGAGGAAACTGCTAATCTTGAAATTCCCACAGAACCCATTCCTACCCAGACTTATATGCCACACATTCCCTATCCAGAGGCTGCAAAGCAACCAACAAAGCTGCATGAATGCATTGGAACCGACATGTTCGAAGGGTTATTCATATAAATTCAGAAGCTAATCCAACACATAACCAGCACTTGACAAATATGCCAGATTTAGATACAGGGCAAACAACTCAAGATAAAATAATTTTTGCTATTGTAACAGACAATGAACCAGCAAAGCCAATCATAATTGCAGAAATTGAGTGCAGGTCCATTGAGAAGGCTAAGACATACAAGGAAAAGAAGACGTTTTGTGGCAGCCAAATTCCTCATAGACAAATTCGTCCAGTGCATAAATTGTGGGTATTAAATACAAGATTTAATTCAGTTCAAGGAAGACACAAGCCTCGCTGGAAGAGACCTTATTTGCCTTGAAAGACTAATCACAAAAAATGGTGGACAAGAAAGATTCAACCACAACAACAACAACAAAGCCTTTTCCCACTAAGTGGGGTCGGCTATATGAATCCTAGAACGCCATTGCGCTCGGTTTTGTGTCATGTCCTCCGTTAGATCCAAGTACTCTAAGTCTTTTCTTAGGGTCTCTTCCAAAGTTTTCCTAGGTCTTCCTCTACCCCTTCGGCCCCGAACCTCTGTTCCGTAGTCACATCTTCGAACCGGAGCGTCAGTAGGCCTTCTTTGCACATGTCCAAACCACTGTAACCGATTTTCTCTCATCTTTCCTTCAACTTCGGCTACTCCTACTTTACCCCGGATATCCTCATTCACAATCTTATCCTTTCTCGTGTGCCCACACATCCCACGAAGCATCCTTATCTCCGCTACACCCATTTTTTGTACGTGTTGATGCTTCACCGCCCAACATTCTGTGCCATACAACATCGCTGGCCTTATTGCCGTCTTATAAAATTTTCCCTTGAGCTTCAGGGACCTACGACGGTCACACAACACGCCGGATGCACTCTTACACTTCATCCATCCAGCTTGTATTCTATGGTTGAGATCTCCATCTAATTCTCCGTTCTCTTGCAAGATAGATCCTAGGTAGCGAAAACGGTCGCTTTTTGTGATCTTCGCTAGATTGCTCCGGTCATTAGTGTGGATAAGTATATAAATGGATAGAAATAGGAAAGCAAACACCAGATATACGTGGTTCACCCATATTGGCTACGTCCACGAAATAGAGGAGTTCTAATTAATTGTGAAGGGTTTACACAAGTACATAGGTTCAAGCTCTCTTTTAGTGAGTACAAGTGAATGATTTAATACAAATGACATTAGGAAATATTGTGGGAGAATGATCTCGTAATCACGAAACTTCTAAGTTCCGGAGTGTGGTATCGTCTTGACTTGCCTTATCTGTCTCGTAGGTAGATGTGGCATCTTCTCTGGAAGTACTCTTTCTCCATCCAGGGGTGGTATCTTTAACTGGTGGAGATGCACAAGGTAATGTATCAATTTCACTTGAAGCTTACTTGTAGTTTCAGGCTTGGTCAAGCGCGATACAAACCATGTAGTAGGAGTCATCCAAGTCGCTGAGCTAGGGGATCTGCTGAAAGAGGTGACAGACAAGGTAAAGCAATCAGAGCTCCAAGCAATCAGTCCCAGATCAGAACTTTGATTTCGAGTTCCGGCTGATTGTTCACATTCTCCCTATCTTGCAGGCAGCATGAAGGATAAAGAGAAGAAAAATGAGAAGAGATGATATGGGATACTTTTGCTTTTGAAGAAGTAACTTTCCACAGGCTTATTCTTGAACTGGGCTGAAGGGTTTTCTGGTTTCCTCCAGAGTATAAGGCCGACTGAAGAATTTGAGGGTCAAAACAAGTCCATCAAATCTATAGTACGTTCGACCCTGCTGATATGGGATACTTTTGCTTTTGACAGAGTAGTGGATGTATCGGCACGTGTGCTGTTACGCTTGTCTCCACATGCTTCCTTGTATCCTTCTCACTTGCCCTATATGTTCCTCAGGCAGATGCGGTATCTTCCCTGGAAGCATAAGATGTTGAAGATGAGTACTCGAGAGCAATGCCAGGTAAGTAATCAAGTAAGGGGTTCCAGGCAGTCAGTTCCTGACTGGAAGCTTGATTCCAAGTGTTGACTGATTGCTCTCTTTCTCCTTGTCTTGCAGGTAAGAACAAGGCCAAAGGAAAAGACAGGGAAAAAACATGATATGGGATACTCTTGCTTTTAACCCTGATGATATAAGATATTCTTGCTCTAGTATAGCTTGTTTGCAGAGGTATTATCGGGGGGAAAGAAAGCTGAATATTTCGAAAGGCTTCTTTGGGAGTGCCCTCTCAGATATGAAGAAGGGTTGAGCATTTTTGCAAGTCTGCCTGTCTGTTGGGGATGGAGGTCAACATATATAGGAGTCTCCCTAACAACAAGTAGTAATGCTATTCCTTTACCCTGCTTGGTCATAACACGGTAGTGGGAGCTGCCAGCTTCACATGTTTTAACTCTGTCAGATCACTTTCAAAAAGTGGTATGTGGTATCTGGAAAGCTGATGTTGTGTG